AACCGGGGCGCTAACGTAGCAACAGGTTCAGCCTCAGGCCGCGACCTGCGCAAACGTAGCAGCAGGCTGCGCTAAGGAAGCAGCAGGTTCAGCATCAGTTTTAAACTGCGCTAATGAAGCAGCAGGTCAGCATCAGGCTAAAAACTGTGCTAATGAAGCATCAGGTTCAGTAACAGGCTAACCTGTGCTAATGAACAGCAGGTTCAGCATTCAGGCTAAAACTGCGCTAAGGAAGCAGGAGGTTCAGCATCAGGCTAAAAACTTGCTAATGAAGCATCAGGTTCAGTATCAGGCTAACCTGTGCTAATGAAAGCAGCAGGTTCAGCATCTGGCCGGACCTGCGCAAATGTAGCAGCAGGCTGTGCTAAGGAGGCAGCAGGTTCAGGCATCAGGTTAAATCTGTGCTAACGTAGCAGCAGGCTGTGTTAAAGAAGCAGCAGGTTCAGCATCAGGTTAAAGCTGCGTTCTTTGCTGCTGCAGGGCCATGAAGAGGAGTCGAGGGGGGTGGATGTTGACTTTGAAACACCTGGATCCATCCTGGTCAACACCAACATCAGAGCTCTCATCAATGTGCGGACCTTTTCAGCCTTTCCCACACACTCTCAGCAGCAGCTGCTTCAGCTGCTGCCAGAGGTCGACCGACAGGTGTGTGGTTTTCTGTCTTCAGTTTGTCTGCAGTGATATTACACAGCCTGGTGGACAGTAACTATCACACAGCAGGAAATCAAGGTCAACATCATGAACCACTGAACTACATTTGTTCATCTGTTGATAATACAGTTAATGATATGAATGTGGATCTACAGTTTTGTAAATTGTACAATAACAACCTCCTTTTCAGATCTGTTTTACCATCAAACAGCTTTCTTTTTCTTTTGATGACTGAAACATGAAGCTCATTTACACGTCATGAAACTCAGGCCTCGTTCTGTTGTTTACAGTCAGTTTTAAGCATGTGAGCAGAAGTGTTCACTGCTCTCTTTGCAGTACGGACCTGATGGGATGGCCAGACTGAGCAGCTCAGCTCTCAACAACGAGTTCTTCACCATGCCTCCCAGAGCTGGAAGGAGAGGCTGGCTGAGGGTAAGGACTGTTCAGTCATCAACAAACATCAGATCAGATGACACCTGATAGGAATGTATTGATCACTGTGGTGAAGGGTGGAGTTGAATGAAAGGAGGCAGAACACACTGATGCATGATCTGCTTCTACTGGCTGCCAGTCTGTTAACCCTTCACTGTGTTTGACCTGTTCAGGTGAGTTCACTCATGAGATGCAGGTGCGTTTCCGACAGGAGATGGAGAAAGAGAAGAAGGTGGAGGTGTGGAAGGAGAAGTTTTTTTGAAGAATACCACGGGCAAAAGTAAGAGTGAAGACATTTATCCACATCTGAATCTGCTCTGTCATAGTGTGGGTGGGTGGGTTTACAGGTCAGAGTATTGTTCGTGTTTATTGACTGAACATTGTTTACATCAAGAATCAATAGTATGTTGTAGACATTTGTGTTTGACCCAGTGTTTTAAACACACAGTCTAACTTCTGCCTCTAGGGGCCTCTCAATCTAAACTATAACAAAAGACGTTCAGTGACGTCTTGAAATAGCGTCGGATCATGGGAGTTGTTGTCTTCACCACCATCACTATAAGCTCCTCCCAGTTGGATTCCTTCAGTGTCAGTGGTTCAGGAAATCAAACAGACCTGTGATTAGAACCGTTTAAAAACACTGAATAAAGCAGACTGACATTTTAAAGTCAGTGGTTTGAGCGACGCTGTACAGAGCAGAGACTCTAGGAAGAGTTGGAGCTGAGTTTGATTCTAACATTTGTTCTGATTGTTTCTCTGATAACTTATGAACCAGACGTTCAGGAGGTTTTTACCAGCAGCTGAATTATCCACAGAGGTGTCTCCTCTCTCCATAACAAAACACACCAGGAGATTAAAACCAGTAGAAACACCCATAAAGCTGTTTCACTTTAAACTTCAGATATTCACAGACGCTCTTCAGTGACACAGGACAGGACGTCTCCAGCAGCTGGGAGCTGAGCTGTCCAACATTTCCTCAGTTTGTTTCCCTGATAACTTCAGATCCAGACGGCCGACGACTAAAATCCTTCATCTGGTTCAAATATAGAGTGAAAAACCACAAGGGGTAAAAAGTGTATTGTGGCTTAAAACTAGATAAAGTCAATGTGAGCTTCTCAGACAAACACACTGACACATGATCTAGAGGATATGATGTCACTGACAAGCCAACCAATGAAACGTTACCATGATTAAAATCACAGATTTCTCTAGTTTGAGAATTGATGGAAACATTTGGGATAATGTAAGAACACAACTCAACAACATTAGAGCACAGTCTAGTTTTTAGAGATTTCAATTGTGGCGAAGTTATAGATTAATTTGAAGTTGTTTTATGTTCTCCTGAGCTCCACGTGGTCTAGACGAAGTATGCATCTGAACTGTGGTGTGTTTGGCTGGCAGGTCGGGCTAACACGAGAGAGTCTCTTGAAACTCACATGAGTGAAGCCAGTGAAGTTGTGAGCCAGTGTGCTGGACAGTGATGTGGCAGTGGTGACGAGCGTGCCCCCAAGAGAAGCAGCGTGGGTCGGGCGGAGAGAGAGACGGCAGGATGAGGAGACGCACGCGAGCTGACCTGCGTCGCAGGGCCCGCAGGCCCCTTTGTAAGGCCCTGCTGCAGCCCTTCAGTCTGCAGACACAGCTGAGGCCAGTGCTGCAGTCGACATGTCAACGGTTCTGTTGGCTCGCCTGTGTCGATGCCACCGTGCGTTCAGGCGAGGTTGTGCTGCAGGCCGAGTGTGGCGTGGAAGCTCCCCAGCCGAGAGCGTCTCATGGAGCCAAAGCCCTCCCCGACCCGGAGCCGGTCACATTAACCGGCCTCCACCCCCACCCCCAACCCCACTCCCACTCCCAGCCCCAGCCCAGCCAGCCTCTACCCAGTGCAAACGAGGAGCCCGAGGTGACAGCCCGCCTGCTCCCCGAGGAGGCTGCACCTGTCCTGACCTCCCCCCTCCCCGTCCTCCTCCTCCTCTGTCTCGTCTGCCTCCTCACCCGCCTCCTCACCCTCCTCACCTTCTGATAGACAGGGAGCTTTTGCTGCTGGCTTGGACTCATCTTCATCCTCCTCAGCATCTTCCAGCGCCGCAGTGGCGGCCGATCCCCTGGACGACACGCCTCCGTGGTCACATCCGTCACAGGCGCACTGTCACAGCAGCCGAGAGAGCAGCCCCTCCGCCAGCCCAGCCAGCACCCCCACCCAAGCCCCAGCTCCAAGGAGCAGAAGAGGAGGCCAGAGGAGACTCAGGCCTTCTCCAGCTTCCCGAAAAGAGGCCGCGGCTCGACGACCGTCAGTCCTTTCGTACCACAATCGACGGTGTCCGTTCGGAGAAGCCGCAGCCGACAACAGAAGAGCCCAAGGTGCCGCCTATCAGGGTAAGACTGAGCTGCACACACCTGCACACACCAATCATTCACCTGTGTTCAGGTTCACTCACTGTCCCTTGGTCTCTGTTCTCAGATTCAACTGTTCCAGAATCAAACCTCCCTGGGTCAAGGGCCACCCAACCTACCAGATCTGCCCCCGGATCGTGCCCCCGCGCGAGGGCTCGCGGCGGTCGGGACGGGGGGCGCACGCACCTTGCAGACATCAAAGCCCGCGCCCAGCCAAGCCCGGGCCCAGCGCGAGGCCGCTGCTGCTGTTGCAGCCTCTGGCGACGGGGCGGGGTCGGCCGGGGATCCGTGTTGCGGCTCCTCCTCCTCCTCCTCCTCCTCCTCCTCCTCCTCCGGGCTCGATAGGTCCCGGATGCTCTCGTGCTCTTCTTCCACTGCTGCTATCCGGTAGCCCAGCAGCAGGCCGCAACCGGACCCCGGCCGACCCCGCCCCGTCGCCAGAGGCTGCAACAGCAGCAGCGGCCTCGCGCTGGGCCCGGGCTTGCTGGGCGCGGGCTTTGATGTCTGCCAAGGTGCGTGCGCCCCCCGTCCCCGACCGCCGCGAGCCCTCGCCGGGGGGCACGATCCGGGGGCAGATCTGGTAGGTTGGGTGGCCCTTGACCCAGGGAGGTTTGATTCTGGACAGTTGAATCTGAGACAGAGACACAGGGACAGTGAGTGAACCTGAACAACAGGTGAATGATTGGTGTGTGCAGGTGTGTGCAGCTCAGTCTTACCCTGATAGGCGGCACCTTGGGCTCTTCTGTTGTCGGCTGCGGCTTCTCCGAACGGACACCGTCGATTGTGGTACGAAAGGACTGACGGTCGTCGAGCCGCGGCCTCTTTTCGGGGAAGCTGGAGAAGGCCTGAGTCTCCTCTGGCCTCCTCTTCTGCTCCTTGAGCTGGGCGCTTGGGGCTGGGGTGCTGGCTGGGCTGGCGGAGGGGCTGCTCTCTCGGCTGCTGGTGACAGTGCCGCCTGTGACGGATGTGACCACGGAGGCGGTGTCGTCCAGGGGATCGGCCGCCACTGCGGCGCTGGAAGATGCTGAGGAGGATGAAGATGAGTCCAAGCCAGCAGCAAAAGCTCCCTGTCTATCAGAAGGTGAGGAGGGTGAGGAGGCGGGTGAGGAGGCAGACGAGACAGAGGAGGAGGAGGACGGGGAGGAGGTGGAGGTCAGGACAGGTGCAGCCTCCTCGGGGAGCAGGCGGGCTGTCACCTCGGGCTCCTCGTTTGCACTGGTAGAGGCTGGGCTGGGGCTGGGGCTGGGAGTGGGAGTGGGGGTGGGGGTGGGGGTGGAGGCCGGTAATGTGACCGGCTCCGGGTCGGGGGAGGGCTTTGGCTCCATGGAGGCGCTCTCGGCTGGGAGCTCCACGCCACACTCGGCCTGCAGCACAACCTCGCCCTGAACCACGGTGGCATCGGACACAGGCGAGCCAACAGAAACCGTTGACATGTCGACTGCAGCACTGGCCTCAGCTGTGTCTGCAGACTGAAGGGCTGCAGCAGGGGCCTTACAAAGGGGCCTGCGGGCCCTGCGACGCAGGTCAGCTCGCGTGCGTCTCCTCATCCTGCCGTCTCTCCTCCGCCGACCCACGCTGCGTCTCTTGGGGGCACCGCTCGTCACCACTGCCACATCACTGTCCAGCACACTGGCTCCAACTTCACTGGCTTCACTCATGGTGAGTTTCAGAGACTCCTCTCGTGTTAGACCGGACCTGCAGCCAAACACACCACAGTTCAGATGCATACTCGTCTAGACCACGTGGAGCTCAGGAGACATAAACAACTTCAAATTAATCTATAACTTCGCCACATTGAAATCTCTAAAAACTAGACCTGTGCTCTAAATGTTGTTGAGTTGTGTTCTTACATTATCCCAAATGTTTCCATCAATTCTCAAACTAGAGAAATCTGTGATTTTAATCATGGTAACGTTTCATTGGTTGCTTGTCAGTGACATCATATCCTCTATGATCATGTGTCAGTGTGTTTGTCTGAGAAGCTCAACATTGACTTTTATCTAGTTTTAAGCCACATACACTTTTTACACCTTGGTGGTTTTCACTCTATATTTGAACCAGATGAAGGATTTTAGTCGTCGGCCGTCTGGATCTGAAGTTATCAGGGAAACAAACTGAGGAAATGTTGGACAGCTCAGCTCCCAGCTGCTGGAGACGTCCTGTCCTGTGTCACTGAAGAGCGTCTGTGAATATCTGAAGTTTAAAGTGAAACAGCTTTATGGGTGTTTCTACTGGTTTTAATCTCCTGGTGTGTTTGTTATGGAGAGGAGGACACCTCTGTGGATAATTCAGCTGCTGGTAAAAACCTCCTGAACGTCTGGTTCATAAGTTATCAGAGAAACAATCAGAACAAATGTTAGAATCAAACTCAGCTCCAACTCTTCCTAGAGTCTCTGCTCTGTACAGCGTCGCTCAAACACTGACTTTAAATGTCAGACTGCTTTATTCAGTGTTTTTAACGGTTCTAATCACCAGGTCTGTTTGATTTCCTGAACCACTGACACTGAAGGAATCCAAACTGGGAGGAGCTTATAGTGATGGTGGTGAAGACAACAACTCCCATGATCCGACGCTATTTCAAGACGTCACTGAACGTCTTTTGTTATAGTTTAGATTGAGAGGCCCCTAGAGGCAGAAGTTAGACTGTGTGTTTAAAACACTGGGTCAAACACAAATGTCTACAACATACTATTGATTCTTGATGTAAACAATGTTCAGTCAATAAACACGAACAATACTCTGACCTGTAAACCACCCACCCCACACTATGACAGAGCAGATTCAGATGTGGATAAATGTCTTCACTCTTACTTTTGCCCGTGGTATTCTTCAAAAAACTTCTCCTTCCACACCTCCACCTTCTTCTCTTTCTCCATCTCCTGTCGGAAACGCACCTGCATCTCATGAGTGAACTCACCTGAACAGGTCAAACACAGGTGAAGGGTTAACAGACTGGCAGCCAGTAGAAGCAGATCATGCATCAGTGTGTTCTGCCTCCTTTCATTCAACTCCAACCTTCACCACAGTGATCAATACATTCCTATCAGGTGTCATCTGATCTGATGTTTGTTGATGACTGAACAGTCCTTACCCTCAGCCAGCCTCTCCTTCCAGCTCTGGGAGGCATGGGTGAAGAACTCGTTGTTGAGAGCTGAGCTGCTCAGTCTGGCCATCCCATCAGGTCCGATCTGCAAAGAGAGCAGTGAACACTTCTGCCTCACATGCTTTAAACTGACTGTAAACAACAGAACGAGGCCTGAGTTTCATGACGTGTAAATGAGCTTCATGTTTCAGTCATGCAAAAGAAAAAAGAAAAGCTGTTTGATGGTAAAACAGATCTGAAAATGAGGTTGTTATTGTACAATTTACAAACTGTAGATCCACATTCATATCATTAACTGTATTATCAACAGATGAAACAGATGTAGTTCAGTGGTTCATGATGTTGACCTTGATTTCCTGCTGTGTGATAGTTACTGTCCACCAGGCTGTGTAATATCACTGCAGACAAACTGAAGACAGAAAACCACACACCTGTCGGTCGACCTCTGGCAGCAGCTGAAGCAGCTGCTGCTGAGAGTGTGTGGGAAAGGCTGAAAAGGTCCGCACATTGATGAGAGCTCTGATGTTGGTGTTGACCAGGATGGATCCAGGTGTTTCAAAGTCAACATCCACCCCTCCTCGACTCCTCTTCATGGGCCCTGCAGCAGCAAAGAACGCAGCTTTAACCTGATGCTGAACCTGCTGCTTCTTTAACACAGCCTGCTGCTACGTTAGCACAGATTTAACCTGATGCTGAACCTGCTGCCTCCTTAGCACAGCCTGCTGCTACATTTGCGCAGGTCCGGCCAGATGCTGAACCTGCTGCTTCATTAGCACAGGTTAGCCTGATACTGAACCTGATGCTTCATTAGCACAGTTTTAGCCTGATGCTGAACCTGCTGCTTCCTTAGCGCAGTTTTAGCCTGATGCTGAACCTGCTGTTTCATTAGCACAGGTTAGCCTGTTACTGAACCTGATGCTTCATTAGCACAGTTTTAGCCTGATGCTGAACCTGCTGCTTCATTAGCGCAGTTTAAAACTGATGCTGAACCTGCTGCTTCCTTAGCGCAGCCTGCTGCTACGTTTGCGCAGGTCCGGCCTGAGGCTGAACCTGTTGCTACGTTAGCGCAGGTTTAGCCTGATGCTGAACCTGCTGCTACGTTTGTGCAGTTTTAGCCTGATGCTGAACCTCCTGCTTCCTTAGTGCAGCCTGCTGCTGCCTTTGCACAGGTCCGGCCTGATGCTGAACCTGCTGCTACGTTAGCACAGGTTTAGCCTGATGCTGAACCTGCTGCTACGTTTGCGCAGGTCCGGCCTGATGCTGAACCTGCTGCTACGTTAGCGCAGGTTTAGCCTGATGCTGAACCTGCTGCTACGTTTGTGCAGGTCTGGCCTGATGCTGAACCTGCTGCTACATTAGCACAGGTTTAGCCTGATGCAGAACCTGCTGCTTTGTAAGCGCATGTTTAGCCTGATGCTCAACCTGCTGCTAGGTTACTGCTGTGCTGTTAATGGGAGAGGTACTTACCTGAAGGGACATGCTCTCCATTCACTTTCAGAGGCGTGAGGACAACACGAGGCATCATGACTGCTTTCTTCCTCTGCCTCCCTGACTGTAACACACATGATGTGATGGGCAGGTGATGGCAGGTGGAGACAGCAGACAGTTCTACAGTTAGTATGTTGAGCTCATGAAGACAGTCCTGCAGCAGTTACACTTCATTCTGTAAAAAACAACTAGTGCTGTGACTGACTCTACAGACATGCTCTCAAACCCTGGACCACAGAGCATATGTTATCACTTCCACGGTACACATGAAGCAGCAGGTGTCTCACCTGTCTGGAGCGGCTCAGTCTGGTTTGGGCGTGTTGGGTGTGCTGGGTCTGCTGTGCGTCTGTACGTCCCTGCTGTCCTGCTGCCCTGCTGAGACGGGTCTGGGGCTGGGAGCTGGGAGCCTGCAGCTCTGTGGAGCAGGAGGCACTGGACGAGCTCTCGTCCACTGAGGCTTCAAGTCAGGGAAAAACACACTTAGAGCTCCATTCATTACATCCTTTTGGATATCAAATGTCATCACTTCCTTTTGTCCTGTTAAACATTTTTTGTCATAATCAGTGTATGAATTCATGAGTTCTGTGTTTCAGTGGTTTTAAATTCACGGTTCAGTTTGTTTTCAGTACAGTGAAGAAAAAAAGACATGAACATTACATTCAATTTACTTAACTTTAAAAAGGAAAGTGTCATGAACTTGTAACCCAGTGACAAACTGGACATAAGTTTAAACTGGACGACTGTTGTTTCTTCAAGAAATGAACATAAAGGACGTTTCTTTTAAAAAATAAAAATAAAAACATCGGTCAACTGTCATCTACATACTATTTATGTTGCTGCAATCTACTAACAAGACTTAAAGTGCTTCAGAAGGTTTTCAAATAAATAAGAAATAAATAATATAATAATAAACTTAAGATCTATGAAAGTGCAGGATGTAAAAAATTATTGATAAATAAAGATTAGCATTTAGGATATAAAATCCTCTCAAACACTTGTATGATTTTATTCCTTGACACGTCGTAGACCGACGTCAGAACACAAAACGTTACGATGTAACGTTCATGGTTAAAGCTGGATTATATTCATCTGGACCACAACACAAACTGAACTAGACATCCTATACTGAACAGCACAGTACAGGACAGTCTTTGTCAGTCCTGGACTCAAACCATTCTCTGATTTACCCAAAAATATTTATTTAAAATATTTAAATGAATATAAGCATCTGACAACACGTCGACTCATGACTTGAATCTTTGGGGGCAGTCCTAGAAATAACTGGTGTAGCTCTCTCTCTCTCTCTCTCTCTCTCCCTCTCCCTCTCCCTCTCCCTCTTCGCCCCTCCCCTCCCCCTCCCTCTCCCCCTCCCTCTCCAGGTCTTTCTGCCTCTGGACCTACACAGTCTGGATTCGTGACGGCAGACAACCTTCTGCCTACTCTTATTATTATTATTAGGGCACAAGCACTGAGTGTGCCAGGGCGCAGCAGTCCATGTGCCAGGAACCTATTGTTTTTGGAAGGATTATTATTATTCTGCTGGAATAATTGATTTTTGAGGGCCTTAACATATTCAAAGACTCACGAAAATTGGCACAGGCCTCCAGGCCATCAAAAATCGCAAAATTCAACAGCGATCAGGCTGGGGCGTGGCCGACGGGCTCCATACCGCCCCCAAACGTCGAGTCATGCCGGGACAAAGGTCCTTTGGATGTTGATGAAATTCAGTGGGATTATTGGACACATCATAAAGGATTTAATCCATTTTTTTTCCCCGCCAGACCAGAAGTGGGCTTTTTTAGGGGCATGGCAAAACGGCTCAAGGGCACCCCCTACAATATTTCAACTAAGTAGCCCTCGCAGTACGTTTAACCTAGAGGTATGAAAATTGGTAGGCTGGTGTATTGTATTGAGATCTACAAAAAAGCCTCTTGGACCCATAAACTAAACCCAACCGGAAGTCCGCCATATTGAATTTAGCAACTTTGGGTGCGTTTTGTCGCCATTTTCAGGCATCGTACTTTAACAAACACCTCCTAGAGTTTTAATCATATCAACTCCAAATTTGGTCCATACCATTTTAAGACCTTTTAGATGTTAAATTGCGAAGCTATATCAGGGTCATTGAACAGCATGTCCATGGCGGCACGGCAAATATCGATGTTTCGACATGACAGAAGAATGTCATGTTTCACAGTAGCCCACACAGCAGGATTCACCTAGATGTAAGAAAATTGGGAGGCATATGTACCCCATGGAAATCTACAAAAAAGCCTCTTGGACCCATACCCTAAACCTAACTGGAAGTCTGCCATTTTGCTTTTAGTGTACAATTTTGGTGCATTCTTCCCCATTTCCAGGTGTCACACTTTAACAAACTCCTCCTAGACAATTAATCAGATCAACATCATATTTGGTCAGTCTAATCTAAAGACCTTTGCAATGCTAAATTGCAAATATTTTGAGTTTTCGTAGGAGGACCTGCCCATGGCAGCATGGCAAATTTCAATGATTTGCCATGAAAGAGGAAGTTGCTATAACTCCAATACATATTATCAAAACTGCCCCATACTTTATATGTTTTATCCCAGACTGAAGACATCTGCATGGTAATATGAAGTCATAGTCATAGCGCCACCATACATACAGGGAATAACCCTTGAGAGACAATCATCATTTGATGTACATGAGATTTTCATGGTCTTGTCTGCACTTCGTCAGCAGCAAGATAACACGTTAGGTGCATCTTGCATGTAATACACCCAGTCTTCTGCCACACAGCGCATGAGGGAAATCTTACTTGTGTGCATAGAGTCATTTGGTTGTGACAATGCAAGGCGGCTTTAACCGGCCTCCTGCCAACGCCCCTGGCATCCGCAAGAGTGCAAGGGCCCGCTCAACGCTGCTTGCAGCTTTAATGATCTTTTTATTATTACTTATTATTATAATACAATCTTCATGTGAAAGCTGTTGTTTTTCCTGATGCTCTCTCTCTTCCTCTGGTTGACAGTTGTCCACTAACAGTCTGGTTCTGTTTGAGGTTCTACCTGTTAAAGATGCTGCTCATAGAGGACATTGGGTCTGTAATAATAATCTGGGACAGTCTGGACCTAGTCTGTATGAAAAGTCCATCCATCCATTATCTACACCGCTTGTCTCCAAGCGGCCCCCCGTGACCCTTGTAGGGGAGCCAATCCCAGCTGACATTCAGTGAGGGCGGGTAGACCCTGGACAGGTCGCCAGTCTACCACAGGGCTGACATATAGAGACAAACAATCACTTGCACACAAATTCACACCTATGGGCACTTTAGAGTCACCAATTAACCTAATGTGCATGTTTTTGGACTGTGGGAGGAAGCTGGAGCACCTGGAGAGAACCCACGCAGGCACAGGGAGAACATGCAAACTCCACACAGAAAGGCCACAGGCCAGGTTCAAACCCAGAACCTTCTCTCTGTGAGGCGACAGTGCTAACCACTGCACCACCGTGTCGCCCCTGTATGAAAAGTGCCTTGAGATAACTTCTGTTGTGATTTGCAGCTGTATAAATAAAGCTGACTTGAATTGGCCTTTACTGCACCACACAGTAACAGAACGACCCTGCAGCAGAGGATGATGGGAGAGGTCGCTGGTGTGTGCTGGTGTTACCGTCATTGTCTCCACTGGCAGCAGCGGTGGTCTCAGTGGAGTCACAGCTCTCCTGCTCTGTGGCCTCAGTGGGACCGACTGGGACCACGGCCGAGCCTGCTGCAGGGCCGCCGCTGCTCGAAGCCTGGTGGCCAGTACTGCCGGCCACTTCGGCCAGCGTCTCCGACTCTGAAGTTGTCTTTGTCCACTGGAGGGCATTCTTCTACAGAGAGACCAGTACAGAGTTAGCAGGTCCCTGTCCATCATTTATCAAATCCACTGCTACATTGAAGCATCATGCGACTCATGTTTACCCTGCAGTTTGTTTATACATGGGATTCATTACAATAATAATGTAATACGTCCTGTGATGCTCATGTGATGATGTGAACTGACTGGTTCAGAGATCACTGACTGAACTGTGTTTGTAGAATCATGAACTTTAATGTTTGTAGAGATGTTCTTTTGACCCCAGTGATGACAGTCACATGAACTCAGGTACATGTACAGGTGAGTGAGGAGGGTCCTCACCTTCAGGGTGAACAGACTCATCCGTCCAGGCAGCTTGAAGAAGATGCTGTTCTTCACTCGGTCTCCTCTCACCTGGGAGTGCAGCATGGTGACCAGACACGCCAAGGGAGCTGTCCCACTGTCCACGTGCGCACACACACACACACACACACACACACACACACACACACACACACACACACACACACACACACACACACACACACACACACACACACACA